AAAAATTTCGGAAGGTCATAAATTTTGACTAGAGTATTTAAATCAGATGATTTTTTTATTTCACATAATTTTTTGATATTTACGCAATGACACCTCATTTGACATATTTTATCTCTCACAAATATAATTCAAATTTTAAAAAATGTGGAACTATTATTGTAAATTTGAACTATGTTAATGAAAGATAAAATATGTCAAATGAGCTGTCATTACGTAGATCTCAAAAAGTTATGTGAAATAAAAAAAATCATGTAATTTGGATACTCAAGTTAAAAGTTATGGTCTTCCGAAATTTTATGATAACGGAACTAACGAGATTGTGCCATTTGATACAATCCTTTGAGTGCCGGAGGGAGAGGAGGCGTCACTCAATTGAAAAAAATAAAAAATAAAAAAGAATGTGTGAGTGACACACTGGGTAGGTCCCCTTCGTGTCACTAAACGATCCCTATTGATAACTACTGTAAATCAAATACTAAATTAAAAAATTAAAGGGTAAAAATTCAAAATGGATCAAAGAGCCATGAGATGAAATTATATTTGCAATTCCAAAATAACGTCATTTAAAATTTTTAGGAAAAGAATATAAGGTATTTTAATAAAATTAAATTATACAAAAGAAAATAAAAATATTAATATATCTTGTAATTTTTTTTAGGAATTCACTAAATCACGTTCTTTTGTGGGGAGAAACAATTTTCTCCATATAATAATGTGATAATTTATCAAACTTTTGAAAGAATTTTAATAGAATATCATTATATTAAATTAGAATACCGAAAGATGTGGTCTTACTTGTGGAAGACATGATTTATAATTTCTTGAAGGCTTTCATTGTTTCTTGTTTGCTCTGACTCTCCTAGAAGATTGGAAATATCAAGATTTTTCTCTGCAGTTCATACTCTATACCAATCCCTAATCACAACTCTCGATGGGGTGAGTTGTGGGGTATTGATTTTCCAACACGTTGTGAATGCAAAAGAGATATTACCAAATTTATTAACTCTAGTTCCCTTCTCATCATGGGTCTATGGATAATGCCTATACTGTTATCACACTAATCAATTTACAGATATTTAAATATTCAAGTCCAAACAAAAAAATCACTTAATTAAGAGAGCTTTATACTACACCCACATCTAAATCGTGACTTAGCTACTTCTTATCAAAATAAGATAAAGTACCATTAATAGAAGCCCACAAAAATTATAAAAAATTCAAACAACTTTACCACACAACTAATCCTAATGGATCCAAGTGGTCCACATGTTAAAAATTGCAAAGTGCAACACAGTGGTCCCAGCTCAACTCACATGCGCTGATACACTCACCTTCCGGCGCATATCATTGATTGATGATTCAGTTGGGATACCAAATTCCACTCCCCACGTCAAGTATCGAATTTAACTTTTGCAAAAGAACAATCGTGTGTGCTGTTCTTGTTCTATCAGCAAGCATCTCTTTTGGGTTAAGAACACATGGCACATGATATCGCTGTATTTTTGGTCTTATAAGTTATAAGCAACAGAGTGAGCTCGATCTCAACCCATCTCCATAACTTTTTTTTTTTTTGAAATATTACATTCGGTTTATTGTTTCGCAACTAATTCAATTCGGGGCAGGTTCAGAATTAAAGCTTTAAACTCCTTTCAAAGGAGAAATGAGGTACTTAAAAGATTCGAACACATACTCTCATCCCCACCTTAGCTCCCATGCACGCCAATTGAGCTATCACTATTTGCTATCTCCATAACCCTTTTAAAATAGATAAAAACCGCGTCTTCATCCCCACATGTCCCCACATCCAACGCGCCATTTCCCAACACGTACTGTACTACTGTTGTAAGCTACCATGCACCCATGTCCAACATTCCAATAAGGAGGGATTAAAAAAAAATTCAAAGATTGATTGTATTGTCGTTTTTTAATTTCAATTATTAGATTTGTTAGATTATGATTATAGTTTTATTGAGTTTAATATAAATAATTAGGAGCATTATTCTGACAACATAAAATTTTTACAACATCTTATAACTTATTTTTCACGGTTGATCGATTTTCGGCAATCCAACGGTTATAATTTATTAGAATTAATAATTAATTAATAAGTATAACACAGTAAATTATAATCGAAATTTATAAAAAAAAATAGGTTGTAAGCGAAAAGAGGTGGTAAGAATAACATTATTTATAAATAATTGTGATATCTTATGTTTCTTTACAAAATTAATGGATATATAAGTTTATCTCTATTCTTTTTGTTAAATTATTGAATATTAAATATGATATATACTACTTAAATTAAAAATATTATTCAATATCAAAATGTGTCTTAATGTGTCGAAATCTAACATTTTTTAGAATTAACAAGTAAGAATATCATGTCGTGTCTCGTGTCCCGTATCAGTGTCGATGCAACATAGGTTGTAAGAAACCATACATATTGAACAAAACAAGAGGATTCCTACGTGTATAGATGACTTCCATAATATTATTTAATCTTAATTTAATGGAGATCTAATTATTCATAAATTGGCATGACTTTTAAAAAAAAAATATTTCAATCGGTTTATCGCTTCGCGACTAGTTCAATTTGGGACGGGTCTCGGGATTAAGGATTTAAATCCCTTTAAAAATGGTTTGGAGAAAATCGAACACATACCCAGTGGCGTAGCCACATGCAAGCCAACAAGTGCCTTGGAACCTGTCTTTTTTACTTATTATATAATTAATTAATATTAACTAAGGTAAAAATTATAATTGGCACCACCTAAATAGAAAATCAAATACTCAATACAAAGTAACGACAAACCATTTAAATGCAAACAAATAATAAGGAACATGTATAGTATGGTTATTTTTGTGTTTTTCTTTTTTTTTTCTTTTTTTATCCTGTATATTTGTTTTTTTTCCTACTTTATTCTAATCAGTTATGTTATTTATTCTTACTCCTATTATTTTAAAAAAGAAAAACTTTTAAACTTAATCACAAAAATGATTAATTGACCTATTTCAAAATTTGGACCCAACTAAACCAAATAAACCCATTTAAAAGTAGAAAAAATGGTTTGTCCTTTTAAAAGACACAATGTTATATATCCTTTTAATTTTTGACACTATATCTTACCGGTAAAACATAGTTATAATATGAAAAATTATTTTTTTTCTTCTATTTTCTCAGCCACTTCAGCTGACATGGAGAGAGACAAAAAAATATTTTTTCATATTATAACTATGTCTTACTGATAAGACATAGTGTTCAAAACTAAAAGGATACAATTTGTGTCCTTTAAAAAGACAAACACTTAACCCTTGAAAGTAACAATCATGAAACCAAATGAATAACAGGACTATAATTATGAAATATGAAGGCCCATTGAACTATTGTGTTTTGGGTTACTGCACACACAAAGAATAGTCAAAAACTTAATTTCCAAATGTGAGAATTTTCAATCGTGCTTATGGCTGTTGCAAACAAGTATGATGTTCTCTAACGTGAGATTTTGAAAATTTAAGAAATAGAGATAACGGAAGAGGAGACTAAGGACAATGTTTATTAAACATATAATTATTATATTTGTGTGTTTTCATATCCTTAGGATAATGTTTGGTTCATTACTTATTATGTTGTGGGAAGAAAGTGAAATTTTAATGTTTGAAATGTTTACCGAAAATGTTAGTGCATTTTTATATGTTTGCTTTGATATATAATCAACGAAAATTGTTCATTTGGATTTTCAATATTATGTGACATTATTTAGTACATAATTTAGATAACTACATTAGAATTCATAGTAAATTTTTTTCCTAATAAATTTATGAAAGTATGATAAATTTTTTGATAATTTGATATGTTAAATTTTGACCCCACCTAATTTTTTGGATTGCCTCTGCACATATCATCACCCACAACTGCTCAATTCTATGCAAACTGAACTTTTATCATTTGATAAATTGGCATAACTTTTAAACATGCATCCAGAATCGTTTATTGAATATTAATTTATAACTAGACCATTATTTATCGAAAAAAACATATTTTTGTTTGGAGATATGTTATTTTTCATTAACAACCATGATGGAAATTGGACGACAAGTTATAAAATGTTATTCCCGTGGTAACTGACTTAGGTTTTAGAGTCAAATATAAAAAATAAAAAAATAATTTCCGTTACAATTAAATCCTAAAATAAATTATGGGGTTTCAACTTCTCTTGTGGAAGAAGTTTAAAACTTGCAATAAAGACAAAGTTGTGGTGGGGCCATTAAAAAAAAAATAGACACGTGTTTCGAACTGAGAATGAGAAGACAACTTTGAATCAACATGAGAATTATTTATGCTGTAAAAAATATATATTAAAATTTTATATGAATACATAAAGAAAAAATACATATAATTTTAAATGGTACAATTTTGTATCATTTTAAGTGAAGCTCTCAGGTATAAAATTAGGATGATAGAGAAAAGAAGAAAATGATGAAGGAGAAAGAAAATAAAAAAATATCAAAATACAATATTTTTATGTAAAATGACACAAAATTATGTTATTTAAAAAAAGATATTTTTTATAAATGAAACCACAGAAAATATAGGCAATAATTTGCAAGATTTTTATTTTTTAATTCTAACAAAATAAATTATAAATTAATTTTTCTGCAATTAATGTAGATAAATTATATATATTGAACTCAAAAAGATGTCGTTTAGGAAAAAAAATTAAAGTATTTTTAGGAAAAGAAATTAAAGTATTTTTATAATTATAATTTATTTTAAGATTATAATAATCTTTTTCGTTATAATTTTTTAATCTTTCAGTTCAAAATAACATCTTTTTAAGAATTATAAATAACTTAAGTGTATAAACATCTTTTAAAGTGATAACTTATTTAATTTTTATTTTACACATTTTTATTTTACACATTGACCTTGACTCTTAGAATCTATTAATTATTACCAGCACTAGAATCAAATAGGGTCCCACAAAACCAAATGAGCATTAAAACCCATTACCTTCCTCCATTCTCCGTCCAAATTCCAACCAAACGCCATTTCTCTTTCAAATCACAATGGCAACCAACCAACCCACATCATTGGGATCCGACCCGAACCCGAAACAGAACCCGAATCTCGCACCCTCACCGTACCTACAAGATATGAACGAACTTGAGAGAGTCTTCAACCGCTTCGACGCCAACGGCGACGGCAAGATCTCCGTCGACGAGCTCGACAGCGTTCTCCAAACTCTCGGATCCGGCGTGTCGTCGGAGGAGCTCCGCCGCGTCATGGACGACATCGACACCGACCACGACGGCTTCATCAGCCTCCAGGAGTTCGCCGCCTTCTGCCACTCCGAAACGCCGGACGGCGGCGCCACCGAGCTCCGCGACGCCTTCAATCTGTACGATCGCGACAGGAACGGCCTCATCTCCGAGGCGGAGCTCCACCTGGCGCTGAACCGCCTCGGCCTGAAGTGCTCCGTCGAGGAATGCCGCGAAATGATCAAGTCGGTGGATTCCGACGGCGACGGCAACGTCAACTTCGACGAGTTCAAGCAGATGATGACGAGCAAGAACCGTAGGGTCAATGGCTCAGTACAAATTCTCTGAGTCTTCGGCGCTTTCTGCTTCCATAGTACGATTTTCTCTATGTTTTTTCTTTCACTTTATATAAATAATCTTTGTGGTGAATTGCTCAACTGAAACTTTAGACATAGATCGAAATCAAACCAAGACGATCATGGAAAATTTTCATATGCTTTGGTTTATCTCAGAATTTGTGTTGTGCATTTGCAAACTTGTGTTCTTCGTGTTTTGTTTTTGTTTTTTCTTCTTCTTGATTATCGTTTTAGATTCGTCAGAAAAGGTCAATTTCGGTTGCTGCTGAATTTAAACTTTTAAAATATATATATATATATATATATATATATATATTAGAAGGAGAAAGTAAATTGATCTGATAAAGCATTGACTTATCATGAATAGTTAAGATACTATCGTATAGTTATGTAAATAACAACATATAAGAGAATTCATGTGCAGCAGGCAGTTAAATTCTTCAATTTAATGGCAATTGAAGGGTTTTTTTTTTCCATTAAAAGCTTTTGAAAATGAAGGGGATTGTTATGATGATGAATGAAAATGCTGATCCGTAAGGAGATTTTGGTATAAGTATTACAAATATGAGATGATATTTTCATAATAGGTGATGAGTGTGTATAATGAATTTGACTCTTTTGAAGTCAATGATGTATTTTAGAGGAGAACATATATAGAGTTATAACCTTTAACTGAACAATTAAGGAATTTGGTTGTTTGTATTATGGGATTAATATGTATCGTGTTGGATGAGATAATTTTATTTTTTCTATATGGCTTTAATGTCTTTATAGTAAATGTAATTAAGTTATCTACATTCACTCTAAAAATGATATCGTTTTGGGTTAAAAGATTAAAAAATTATAATAAAAGACTATTATAACCCTGAAATAAATTATAATTACAAAAATACCTTGATTTTTGTCCCAAAATGACGTCATTTTAGGTTTAATGTAGATAACTTATTTACATTGATCGCGGAAAAAACGAACCCTTTCTATATACACATAAAAGTGTGTTGTGGGCAGGGGGTGTGCAAAAAAATTGATTTATTTGCCCTACCCTTGATCTATCTGACCTTGACCTGACCCATAAATATCCATATTTTTTGAACTGGGTTTAGATACTGACCCACTTTTATTTTGGTTAGTTTTAGACCTAACTTGTTTTAATAATGACTCATTGACCCAAAACTTGACCCACACTCATTATGTGAAAAAAAAAGAAAAAAAAATCACAATTACGTTAAAAGAAAAGTTTTAATATAAAACAATTACGTCAAAATTTTTTATGGAAAATATTTCCATCAAAATTTTTCACAATTTTTTGACGAAATTTTTTTTCATCAAAATTTGTGACTAAAAACATTTCTGTAAAAAAATTTGACGGAAAAATATTTTTGTCAAATTTTTTTATAGAATCTAAATTTCGTCAAAATATTTCACAAAAACATATTCATCAAAATTTTTGTAGAAACACATTTCCATCGAACTTTTTTGACGGAAAAAAATTTCATCAATATTCTTTACAGAATTTAAATTTCGGCGAAAGTTTTAGACGGAAACACTTTCGTTAAATTTTTTGACAAAAAAAAATTTTCGTCGAAATTTTAGTGAAACATATTTCCATTGAAAATTTTCGACAAAATATTTTCATCAAGTTTTTTGATAAAAAATATTTGCATCAAAATTTTCAACGGAACACATTTCTGTCAAAATTTTTCGTAAAATATTTTGAAAGAAAAAATATTCTTTAAAGAATCTAAATTTCGTCGAAAGTTTCAATGAAACATTTTCCTCAAAGAAATTTTCATCAAAACACATTCGCATCGAAATTTTGAACAAAAATTTTTCGTCAAAATTTTTGACGGAATTCATTTTTCCTTTAAAACATTTGATGGAGGAAATCATTTTTATCAAAACTTTTGACGGAAACTAAATTTCATCGAAAATTTCGATAAAAAATTTATTTTTGTAAAAATTTTCATTAGAGAAAAAATTATGTCGCTTTTGTAATATTGTATATTTTGGGTTTGAATTTATGAATAGTAGACATTATGTAATTTTTTAATATATCATTGTTAAAATTAGTGATTTGTCATCTTAAGATGGGAAGAGAAGAGCGTTCTCTCATCTTTTACTTTTCATTAATTTTCACTAATTTTGCTTCACATGTGCAGGGGTTTAAAATTACATTCCTTTATTTATTTAACAAATATTAAATTTATTATAAAATTTATATATTTTAAAACAAAAAAAATAATTAAATTAAATGAGTTTAAAAAATAAATCAATAACTATAAAAAAAATCAAATTAAAAACATGTTTTGAAACCATGTCAAAAACGGGTCAGGTCGAATTTGACCCACTTCAGAACCCAAGTCTGACCCACTTCAGAACCCAAGTCTGACCCACTTCAGAAACCAAGTCAGGTCAGATCCGACCCAGTTCTGAACTAGTTCAAAAAAATCCAAACCAAGTCAGACCTGACTTGGATCAAATTAAAGCGGGTCGGGTCAAAATATCTGACCTATAAAATCAAGTTGGGTCGAGTCGGCACAAAAATCTGACCCGATCTGACCCATGCACAACCCTAGGTGTGGGGTTATGTGGGGAGAAAAGAGGGAAAAAAACAACATGGGCCTCAAATCTTCTTCAGCCAGCGATTATAGTACATAGTTATGATATGAAAATTATTTTTTTCTTTCTCTCCACGTCAACCGACAATTTCTGAAGAGAGAAAAAAAATAATTTTAATATTATAACTATATATTCTCTGTACATAGTTATAAGGGGCATGATATTGTAACAACCAATTAGTGTTACTACCAATGTTACTACCAATCAATTTCATCGTTAGATCGATAACCATACAAAGGTGAAAATAAATATAAAGTATTAAATATGAGGAATCATAACCATACAAAGATGGAATTAATTATAACCGTTGGATCAACATAGTCGATCTAACGGTGAAATTGATTGGTAATAACATTGGTAATAACACTAGTTGGTTGTTACAATATCCTTTCCCTAATTATGGGGATAATCGGTGGCAGAAAAAGATTTTTTTTCTACAGCAACATAAGAAATAAGTTTTCCTATATATTTCATAATTTTATTGGTAGATCTTTTAATTATTAATTATAACTTCTTTTTTTCTAAAGTACCCATTTTCCTTTTGAAAAATCTAAATTCGTATATATATTTTTTAAAACATTTTATAGTTCGACTATTAATTTCCTGTTGCCTTTTTTTAAACTTAAATTTGATTAATAGTCATGACGATAATAAACAACATTATTTGTTGATGAATCTAAAATAGGGAGTAAATTATCATTTGGATCTTTAAAAATTAGATCAATAGCACCTATTTTTAAAAGATTAAAGTGATGTCAATTTAATTTTTCATAAATATCTAAAATTGGATGTTAACTTTTAAAAAAAGGATTATGTTAAATGAATAGTTGAAGACTAAGTCTTGAGAACATGGGGGACGAGTGGAGCGGGTCAATTTTCTTTTAGAAAAGTAGGAACGATGGATGTGGCCAGTGGCCACAACTAAGCATTGCGATAAGTCCCCTAAGTAAATGGCACAAGCAATTGGGCATATTTCAAATTTTTTTGAAATGCATTATTATTTAACTTTACAAGCTTCTCGACCGTTAATTCGGTTAGATTCCGATGACTCGCATATACATTGAATATAGTTGAATTTTGAGACGGGATGCCAATCATTTAGGTATAAGCTAGCAGCCATGCCAAACATTTTCTTCTGGCTAATGTTTTAAAAGAATAATATTCTTAATATTCCCCTTATATATGTTAGTGGCAGCTTCCAGCTTCATAAGGGACAGTGTTCAAGCTAAGGGGCTCTAACTCCACACATATCATTTTTAAGAACTTTTTTCACCTATATCTTTCGGAATAGGATATTGTGACACCCAAATAAAATTACGATCAATCATCTCACCGTTAGATTGGTAGTAGCGATCCGACGGTCCTTATTGGTCTCTTAAATAGCCCCTATATTCGTTTCTCTCTCCCTCTTCTCTCTCTGTTCTCCTCTCTCTCCTCGTTGATAACCATACACTCTGTCACCGCTCGCCGCTGCCCATATCCTCTGTCCTGACATCTGACGGCGCCGCCTTCCTCCATCGCCGTTGCATCCCGCAGACGAGCTAGGGTTCGATTTTTACAACCAAGTTCGATTTTTACCAGATATACCAGGTTCGATTTTTCTAATCTGCCTGGTATATTTCAACACAAAGTAAATGAGTTTTGTATTATTCTTATGGCCTGGTATAATTCTATGAAAAATCGAATTAAATCGATAAATCAGGCAAATCAGAAAAACCAAACCTGGTATATCTGGTAAAAATCGAATTTGGTTGTAAAAATTGAACCCTAGCTCGTTCGCGGGATGCAGCGGCGGCGCGGCGACGGAGGAAGGCAGCGTCGTCGGACGTCAGGAGAAAGGATATGGGCGGCGGTGGCAGAGTGTATGGTTATCAACGAGGAGAGAGAGAAGAGAACAGAGAGAGAGAGAAACGAATATAGGGGCTATTTAAGAGACCAATGAGGACCGTCAGATCGCTACTTCCAATCTAACGGTGAGATGATTGGTCGTAACTTTGTTTGAGTGTCACAATATCCTATCCGATATCTTAATAAGAACTTAAAAAAAAAAAAAACTATTATGCGAATCAATCATACAACATGGACAATTTATTTATTTATTTAGTGAATATTGGTCTAATCTAGCGCCTCTCTACACTAGTTATCATATATTGTTTTTTTAAGTATTGTTCCCGTTATGATTAGGTTATGTCGTCTTTTTTTTTTCCCCCTTGCTGATCACAAGTTTAGATTACGGGAAGTATAATCCATATAAGATAACAAAAATCACCAACCTTATTAAAAATTTAAAGTGAAATTATATATCATTTATTGAAGTGATAATTATGTCTTTTTCTTTTGGTAAAAAAATTATGTCCTTTTCTAATCAAAGCAGGCACGGAAATTCTCCATATAAAGTGTAGATTAAATTATTTTAAAAAAATTTATAGTTTTACTGAATTTTCAAAAAAAAAAAACTCTCTTTCATTTCTTATAACTATTAATTTGTCTATCAACAATTAAGCATCTTTTACATCAAGTGATATAGAGTTCGGTTCTTACTGTTATCGTTCTTCTAATAAAAATATTTCAACACAAAG